GGTGACCCTACTGGATTCTCAAAAAATGCAGACATTTCCTTTTCTCAAGTGAGTGAAAGAGTCTCCATGATACAGGTTCGCCCCATTTCTGCTGGTGATAAAAGAGTCCAGGACTCATTTCCTGCACGCAGGTTGGTATGGCGATGATATACAAATGGCTTCTACCCTGAATCAGTTAGCTGTAATTAATGAGCCATCTCAGGGAGACTTGTGGAAAAAAACCCTGGACTGGGAATCGGGGCTCATCCTCAATGGTATGGTCTCCCAGGTCCTCAGTGTGATTACAGGATCCAGTCTTCAGCACATGGCCCCAGGAGGCCTTTCTCTCTGGTTTCCTCCTACCACCCACCCATTCTGCTCTCTCTAGCTCTCACCTTCTCCCCTCTCCCCCCATGTATCTTCATTCCCTTTTCACCAGCAACCCTCTACCTAGTCCTAGATTGTATCTCTGCTTTGTGTTCCCTCTAGCTCTCCCCTCAGCGATGCAAGGCAAACTCCTATTTACCTGAATTTATTCAGGTTCAAATATAATATCCAACGCACACATTCATGCACACCCATGTGCTCCATGTGGCATTGTGGTGACTAGTGTAAACAGGCCTCAAATCATACCACCTCTTCCGGGAAACGTTTCTAGATGACCCCAATCACACATACTCCTCCTGTAGAACAGTGTACACACCTCTCTAATAGCACTTAGGATATTAACAATAATAATGGCTAAACATTTACTGATCACTTACTAGGTAGTATGTACTAGACATCAATTCTAAAAACATTTGACAAAGCGAACCTTCTTTAATTTTCATAGTCACTCCATGAAGAAAGTACTTCATTCCACAGAGAATGCTACTGAGGTTCAGAGATTTAAGTAAGTTCTCAGGGCCACAGAGATATTAAGTGGCTGATGGGTGCCTAGACAAGTGCCTGACACACAGTAGCTGCTCAATAATTATTCACCTCATAAATGGTTAAGTGAATAATTACAAAAATAATGGCATTTCTGTCTCCAGTATACAAAGTTCAAGTAAGAACTTCTTATTAATCTTTCACACTATCTCCCCTGTCAAACACCTACTAATGTGCAGGACAAGGGAAATATATAACAAATAAATTAGCAAAAATAAATAAATAAATAAATAAGCAAGCCAATAAATAGAGCCCAAGTCCTGTCAATGCTACCCACTAGCTTCAGACAAACACCTTTAGCTTGTTGGGCCCAGTTTGTCACCTGTCAAATAGAGTGACTGTATACAGCATTCTCTCAAGTTCCTTCCCTCAAGGTACACTGCCCAGCCAGTATGAGTCAGTGGTTGAGCATCAACCTATGAACCAGGAGGTCACAGTTCGATTCCTGGTCAGGGCACATGCCCGAGTTGCAGGCTCAATCTCCAGTAGGGGGCGTGCAGGAGGCAGCTAATCAATGTTTCTCTGTCATCATTGATTTTTCTCTTTCTCCCTCTTCCTTCTTCTCTTTGAAATCAATAAAAACCACATAGATTTAAAAAGGTACATATAAAATAAATGAACAGACTCCATGATTTTGTTGTTATGGCAACTCTCATATTAAATTATATCTCGCATTTTCTTTTGGGTATTTTCCCTGGGAGCATTACACAATTGGATGTGGCATTTGATCCAGGTACTGCCCTAATACAGAGCCAATAGCAGTCCTTAAAGAATACATTTGGCCTGATCCTTGGTTCATTCCAAGGTTCATATCCAAACAGATCACACCCAGGGAAAGAATGATTAAGTGACTGGCAAAATCCTCATAAATAATAGTTAATAACAAACAATGATCCCAAGTTAGATTAGTCAACCAGCACCTAAGCCACTTTAGTGAACTTTTAGGTCCTTCTTCCTGACCCTGGCACCTGAAGCCTTCTTCTCTAAACAGATTCTGGTCACTGATCTTCCCCCACCATCACCACCAACACACACACCCACGTGCATGCAAACATACATGCATGCACACACACACACATGCACATCCACACACACACACACACACACACTGCTGGCATGAAAGGAGCAGCATAGTTCTTAGCACATAGTAGGGACTGATAAATGCTTATGAAATGCTAAAACCCAGATCCACTCCAGGTGGGGCTAAAATGTGCCCACTTCAGCGCAAGGTCAGAATCCTGGCTGAATTTCATTCATTCCCACTCTTTGTATGGCTAATCAGGAGCTTGGCTGTTTGCCTGGGACCTGACACACCTGTGTCCCATGACGAGCCACTTGCATGCTAATGCCCAGCATTTCTTGTTTAGCTAATTAATGCTCAGCATCAAAGGGTACCTAAAGGAGGCATGTGAGCAAGACCGTATCTGTTCAGGTCCGAAGAGCAGGAGGACCGTGCTCTGTGTTTTGCTTGACTCACAGCAAGGAGTCTAAGTGCCAGGCTCTTAGCACCACCATTCCTGTGAGTCCAGGATGGAAAGGGCCTCTAGTGCAACCGGACTGCAAGTAAACAGTCACTGCGAAGCACACCTGTTGTTTATCTGTCTCTCCCCTCATGTCCTTGAGGACTGCTCCTCCCTCCCGTCAATCAGGCAATGCTTGAAAGGGCTGCCAAAGACAGTAGTCAGGTCCCCTGGCTTTGGCCTCAGTAACTGGCTCAGAGCTGAGCCCATAGCGATCCTTCCCCAGGACATTTTTCAATATTGAGCAGGAAGAGAAAGGTTCTAGCCTTCTGTGTCACGGCGCTATAAAGATATGAACGAGAGACTACCAATATAGGAAAAATCTGTCTGCAGGATGGAGGAATGGAGCCAAAGCAAAACACAACATCCAAAGATACATGGAAGGAGAAGGGTTGGGATAGACTTTGAGTGTCCGGGCCTTCCTGCTTATATAGTTTCTGAAATGTGCAGCTGAGGTGGCCTCACACAGTCACACTGTACTTAGAATTCATTTTCAAATGTATTTCCTACTCTTCAGGTAGTTTTTATGAGAAGGGCTATCACACATTTGTGATGTCTTTGTTCCTCCTCCTCAAAGGGTGTAAGAATTCCTGGGCAAGAATCACTCTTACTCAGCCTCACTCGCTGAAGATGTTAGTTCTTCCTCTTTGTAGCACAGGCGCCAATGGTGACCTGTCAACCACTGGATGTGAGGACTCTTCTGTTTCAAGCCATCAAAGCTTGTAAAATAGGGGCTGGCCAGACAGGCCAGGCAACCGGCTAGTCATTTTTAAAAGGAGGACATTTACATGGTGGTCAGCCCTCCATTCCATCCCTCTGCTGGCTGACTCCCTCTGAAGGTCTGTCTTCGGATCTGCAACAGAGCTCCCCAAAAGCTAGAAGGGGCAATGCATTTCCTGATAAAATAAAGTCTCTGAAAACTTTCCCGGAGAACACTGCAGTCCAGCCATCTGACTTCTATGGCACTTTTTTATTTTTTTCCTCATCTGAGGATGATGTTTTAGAGAGAAAAAAAAGGAAGAGAAAGTAACATCAGTCGGTTGCCTCCTGTACACTCCCTGACTGAGGATCAAACATGTAACCTAGATACATGCCTTGACCAGGAATTGAACTCACAATCTTTGATGTATGGGATGATGCTCCAAACAATTGAGCCACCCAGCCAGGGCTATGGCACCATGTGCAAGTACTGAGAATGGTAATGCTTTTGAAGCTAAAAGCTTCCCCTGCCTCTATGTCTGAGGAACTTGCCCAGTGTACTATGAACCACAAAGTTACAACAACTAGGAAGGGAGGTGCTGGGTGGGGCTGGCACCAAGGATACAGGCCCCACTCCTCCCCCCCTCCCTCCTTTCTTTAACACTTCCACCTCCTCTGTATAAGGCTAGAGCTTAGCAGGTTATGGGCTGGGTGGCTAGGGTGCTCTGGGCTGAAGCGATGGGTCTGATGCAATGCTCTTCCCAGGCCCCATACAGCTGTGCCTCCCAGCCTCGGAGGAGCTTGGCAGCTGTCTCCCCAGGGGCAAGGGAAAGCAGCCGTATCCCACGGTGGACTCAAAGGCTCCTCATCACCAAAACAAACACACAACAGTCCCGATCGCCATGGAGAGTTCAATCCTCTTGTCTGAGATTGGCACCGACTAGAATTCCAAGGGCTCTGGCTGCGCTATCTTCTGTGAGGTCTAAATACAGCATGCTCACTTTTAACCTAAACATCCAGTCTGGACCAGCGCCCAAGGCGGACAGACCCAAGGCCCGGCCAGGAAGTCGTGATTCCTGCCTGCCCATGAATCGATGGGTACTGCAGCGCTACCTGAGATGGGATGGGCTGGTCAGCCCCATTCACAGACGTTGTTATGGCCAAACAAGGGGGGAAGCAATCAGCTTGTGGAGGGTTAACCACAATTATGATCCAGAGCGGAGAAAAGCATGCTGCGGGAGAGGTGGGGAGGTGGGGAGGTTAGGAAAGAAGAGAAAGAGGGAGGGAGGAAAAGGCAGCCAGGACCAAAGACCTATTTCTTAGCCAGTTAAAGTCAGGGCATCTTTCTCAAATGTGTTCCCAGGGGAACAAACTCTCTAATTATGTGTCTCCACTAAATTTGGGGCTTAAGCTCTAGAATCAGATCAAGGTTGCCTCTAATTGTGTGACCTTGGGTTACATAATTGACTTTTCAGTTTCTATAGCTCTAAAATGGTCCAAAGGACTACTGTGCGTGTTCGACAAAACCATGTACCATGTACATTAAGAGGCTAGCACACAGATGTTGCTCCATAAACAGTAGCTACCAGCAGTAGTAATGGAAGTAGGATAATACCAAGCCTGCCTTTATGTTCTCTGCCTTGGAGAGGGCACAAGAAGAGTTGTTAAAGCCACCACGATAAGATGGAAACTCCCAATTAGAATACACGCGGACAAAGAAAACCTGCAACGGAGCAAGGCAATAAAACACACCCACGCCCACACCTGTTGAAAACCTTAGCATGTCCAAATGGCACCACCTTCCTACCCTCTCGGCAAGTCAGCTCATACGCCCCACCAGGGTAAGAAACGCCCACACGTGGGTTCCCTTACCTTGGTGTTCATACATGACTTCCCGCGCTTATACTCCTTGTGGGATCCACGCTTGTCCAACTTGTGCCACAGGGCTTTGGCCTTCCAGGAGGTCACCTTGGACTTGAGCTTGGAATAAAAGTTCCTGTGGTCCAGGGGGTCTAGGTCCAGGTGTCGCGTGAGGATGTTGAAGGCCTGGAGGGTGCCCTTGCATGTGGAAGCCTGGACAAAGTTCTCAAAAATCTGCCCGGCCTGGGTCTGCTTCTCGTCCTCGTTTTCCCCCATGGTTCAGGAGCCGTGTGGCGCAGTGGTGTGGAGAAGATGGAGGAGGACACCATGAAGGACCCAGAGGAACGTCACACCTGCAAAGGGAGGTGCAGGCAGAGGTGAGCTCCAAGAGTGGGCAGGGATGAGTGCTGGGAGAGCAAATAAAATTCCCTTAAGATACTAACCAATAGTACGTAATATAAAACATAAAAATCCATAGAAAATGTACAGCCATACTGTCTAACCTGGCGATGCTGCCTGCTGGCAACCTCTCCCCACTCCTCTCCCTGGCTGACAAGAACCAGATAGCTCTGAGCTATAGCTGGCTGATGTCAACATTGTTGCCTGGTCAATTTTGCTGTGAGCCAGATAGTTCTAGAAATAGTAACTAGTCAAAGGAAAACAACAGCAACAACAGCAAAAAGACGGGAAAAGACTCTAGATTTCTCACCAGTAAAATTCTATAATTCTTGCTGCAAATTGATTGCCCGATTCAATGTCACCTGGCCACACGACATTAGTACACAGCCCCCCAAAACCCAAGCACATGCTTCCCGAGGTCCCATGACCATGTCACCTATTGCTAGACATCAATCTCTAAGTCTCTTTCATTGGTTACCAGGGGACAGGCCTTTCTCCCCTACAGACAACAGCAACGTCTCAAAACCTCTCTCTGATCTTGGTATCCGCTGGGATCACAGCATCGACCTCCATCCAAGAAGGACAGGGAGGCACGTGGGTCCCCTCCTGTGCAGAGAGGCGCCTGTGCTCTGTAAGCCCAAGCCGCGAGCTCTTTGGGACAAGTGCTCAGGCTGACGGAAGGAAAAATGCGATGGGTGTTCATTCACATCACAAAAATAGCTCGCCTGGGTTTTGGCCATCGTCCTTTCTCTCGGTACCACTCTAACCTCAGGCATTTCTTGGGAAAGTCATTTAAGTTTCAAAGGAACAAAAATAAATTAGAGCTGATTTTCCAAAGCACCAGCTATTTTTCTAGGATCCAAAGCGAGGGCAAGGAGACAAGCAGGGAGGAGCAAGGGTCTTCCCAGCTATTGGGTGGGCTGGAAGGGGCTGTCAATGAGAGGATACAGCACACTGAGCTCCCCCGGAAGGAGGCTTGGTAGGGGGAGGTCAGCAAACACAGCGACAAGGCCCTCAGGCTGGGCGGCTTCCCACTCTCCAGATGGGAACACTATTATGGGTGCATTTGGATTGAAGGCTGGCTTTATAATACTAAAAGCAGAGAGAGACCAGCGTTTATCCTCAGCCTTAGTCCTTTGCTCACTCACTCAGCAACAATTACCAGTGTTTTAGCAAGAGCCATACATCACCCTAGGACAGGGGTGGGGAACATCCAGCCTGTGGGTTGTAGAAGGCCTAAGAAATCTTTTGGTCTGGCCCTGCCAAGGTGTTAGGGGTGAGTTAATTAAAAGTTTGACCAATATAGCAGGCTAATTTTTAAATTGGTCATTTTGTATGGCCCAAGAATGATGTCATAAATATCCAAATGGCCCTTGGCAGGAAAAAGGTTCCCCACCCATGCCCTATGTGCTGGGAATACAGAGAAGGGGGCCTAGTGAGGGAGACAGGCACCTAAAGAGTTGATTACAGCTCTAACCGGTTTGGCTCAGTGGATAGAACGTCAACCTGTGGACTCAAGGGTCCCAGGTTCAATTCTGGTCAGGGCATGTACCTTGGTTGTGGGCACATCCCCAGTAGGTGGTGTGCAGGAGGCAGCCGATTGATGTTTCTCTCATCGATGTTTCTAACCCTCTCTCCCTCTCCCTTCCTCTCTGTAAAAAATCAATAATATATATATTTAAAAAGAGTTGATTACAAGACGATGGACAAGCCCTTGTAGAATATGAAGAGTGCATGCAAGCCCAGAGCAGGAGGTGGCCAGCAGAGCCAGAAGAGCCCTGAGAGGGAAATGCCAACATGCTTTCTAGTTTTCACTTTGAAAACTGGGGAACGTACATTTAGATCCATGCAAACACCACAGAAAGGTGTGACTTTGGAAAGAGCCAGGACAGCTGCAAGAATGACTTCAAGTTCAACTCGCCAGGCGTTCAGGATGTGTAACAAGGGTTGGTGGGGGCGCCCAGACAGATCATGGAGGAGGCTGGCTTCTCCAGTGAGCCCTGGAGTGCAGGAGACGAAGCAGTGGCTGAGGTAAGTTTTAGGGAAGATGAGCGGCCAGAGCGTGGACTGGAGAAGGAGGCAGGGAAGTGGCTGCCCAACTGACAGGAGGAAGGCAGGGGAGAGCGAGGAGACAGCTCACCCGTGAGTCCTGTGTGGCAGCCTGGCTGAGCTCCGCCTGCAGGGAGCAGCTTGCTGGGGACAGACACTCTCCAGACACCAGTCTCCCAGACGCTGACAGGTGAGGGGATAACAGCAATTGAATAGGAGCCCACCTTTTTTTCCCCAAGAGTGCTCCTGCTCTATGCTTGCACCTTGCTTGGCTGAAGGGAGACCAGCACGTTCCCTGATCCAGGCCTCGCCAAGTTCCACTCCTCAGCCAGCCCTCCATCCTCCCTGAGAACGTACCTGGCTGCTCTGGTCCCTGCAGCTCAACAAATCCAACAGACTTGGAAAGCTGGCTCTGAGCATGCCTGGCACTGGTACGATGTTTTGTCCCTCACAGATGCTCTCCCAGCTTCTTTATTGTCCGAGATGCTCACTTTGGCATCGCTCACATAAACGCTGCCTCCTACTGTGTTTCAACTTTTCCCCCGTCCAACACTTGCCACCCAGAGAGCATAAACAGAGAGCAAGGCTCGTTTGCTTTACAGAGAGTATTAATATCCTCAGTCTTTATCTTTGGAACCACTTCTCTGCCTGGCACTGAACAAAAATGCAGCCACTGACTGGCAAACAGAAAAGGACTTGGGTCCTGCAGTCCTTTCTGAGGATGGGTGGCTGGTGCAGAGGAAGCCCCAGGCCCAAGTCCAAAGCTCAGCCTGGCCCCTCACTGCCCACATGGCCTCACACAAGCCACAGAAGTTCTGAGCCTCGGTGGCTCCTGTTGTAAGAGACAGGTGACAGCTGCACCTTGCAGGGCAGCTGGGAAGGGTGGATACATGAGTGACAGTAGAGCCTGGCTCCGGGAGGCACTCGGTAGATGTGGAAATGTGTGCTGTACCCAGGACATGGGGCGAGTTTGCATCAGGGAACTCACCAGTTTGAAAAATGGCTCTGTAAGTCAGTTGTGCAGGTTGCCAGCTCTGCCTCATCTAAAATGGTGAAGTGTGTAGAGGTATCGAGCCAGACCAGACTGCCAGAGAATCATTTACAAACTGGAAGAACCTGTCTCCTCCCAACCCCCTGCGGCCTCCTCTCCTCCCCACAAAAGAATAATGAACAGCTTAATCGCAGGCCTCCAGTAGAAAGAGCCAAAGGTGGTGCTGAGGGCTCTGGGTGGGCGTGGGAGCTCCAGGAACCAGCTCTAATCTAGAGTGTGATAAGGGAGGTGGAGGGAGACGGGCCAGACAGCAGAAGATAAGCGCTGCCTTGGACCGTACCCCACGGCCCGTACCAGGCTCAGACCTGCCTCCCTAATTTCAAGGGTCTAGCCTCAACCTTTAAAACCAGTTAAGTCCAAGACCCTAACAATGACTAATATCCCTGTGGGTAGGCTTCTCACAGAAGAACAGCAGAATATTTAGAGTCTGGCAAACTCGGGTGTGGATCTGGTAATATGTTCTAGCTAGCCATGTGACCAGAGGCGTGTTATCTAATCTATCTCAGCCCGTGTTCTTCGTGTAAAGTGGGGATAACACTCACTCACTCACAGGGCTGTAAGGGTTACATTAGACCATGTATTCTAATGTATTAGATGTATTCAGCACCTGCTAGCTACATGATAACCAGCACTCATTACTATTCTTCAAGTGGCCCCAACCTTATCAAACCAAAATAAAGAGAAAAAGGAACACAATTGGTAACCCCTGGGACTAGCTTCCAAGGTTGAGAAATTATATACTTTAAAATTTTTGCCCTAGTTGGTATGGCTCAGTGGATAGAGGATTGGCCTGCAGACTGAAGAGTCCCAGGTTTGATTCCAGTCAAAGGCACATGCCAGGGTTGCAGGCTCCATCCCCAGTGGAGGGAAGCGGGGGAGAGAGGCTAATCAATGATTCTTTCTCATCAATGATATTTCTATCTCTCTCTTTCTCCTTTCCTCTCTGAAACAAATTCCTCTCTGAATTTCTCTCTCTACAAGTTCAGGCTGTGGGCTTTCAATTCAGTTCAAATCTACTTCCTATCTGTGTCTCCTTGGACACCCAACTCAACTTCTGGGTTGTAAGTTCCCCATATATACAGCGGGGAAACACAGACCAGGAAGTCTGGGTAACACCTGAAAACATCCCTGGTGTGAGGTGGTTATATTAATGAAATAGAAAGGCTGACTCTGAAGGGTTCTGGGAGTCTGTATCTGAGCTTCAAGCCTTTTCTTCCAGAAAATGGAGTGCCATATTTTTGGTGGCTACCCCTCTCCTTCCCCAAAAGGAGAAGGTCAGGGATGAATTAAACCAGAGGATCCTGGGAAATAGCTCTTGTTTAAAGTCTTTCTTGTCAACCACCCCCCAGCTGTTGCCTTTTTGGAGTCTGATATGCAATATAAATAAAACCAGCTACCTCCCAAATATGAAAGGTTCCTGCATTTTTTTCTGGGAAGAAACAAGATGTGATGCTTTAGTTTCCAAGAATAGCCTTGAGCAATTTAGTTTTTGCCAAGTGAAGTCCCTTATTTGTGGTTCTGCCTATGTGACTTCATGAGTCACAAAGCAACTCCCTTTCCCTGCCTCTGGCTGCTACAAAGTAAAACTCGGCGACACACTAGAGATAGGCTTGGCTCGTGGCATCTGGGAGACAACTGCAGGTTCATGCCGAGTCCCTGAGCACCTCTCAAAGTAGGGAAAGAGCCTCCTGGCTAAAGAGCTGCCAGTGCACTCACATTTGGGACTGTCACACCTTCTCCTTGCCTGGGCCTCAGCACCTGCCAAATGGCATCAAATGGTGTTACCAGGTGGTGGGTAAACAGTGGAGTCCTATAACCTTCCCACAGATCAGCCATTTGGCTCAGGAGGAAAGC